AGGTAACATCAGACCGCTCAATCTGCAGTGATAAATTGCATACCCCTAACAACTGTTAAAAAAAATCTTGCTCTTGAGCACAGTGCAAATTGCTTTATGAAAGAGCAAAAAAACGTCTAAAGTTTGATGCGAGAATCAAATACAGTATTGCCGTTTTGATTCAGTGGCATGGTAAGTATTATTTCACGGAAATTGCTGCATTCCAGACTGCTGGGAAGTCAAGCCTATGAGGTCCAACCTTACAGACCAGTCAAAGGTTCTTAAAAACATGATTACCGGTAGTTTAATGTTAGACTTTCCCGAGAGTCTCATGGGGAGATTTTTGTTTCAGAGTGATGTTGTGGTGAAGCTTAAAAAGCAGAATATGTAGCACAGGTACATGTGCCCCATTAACAACACTTTTTCTCATTCACCGATCTGATGAGTCATTTCAACAACTTTTACTTTCATATGCTCGATCATCTAGAAAAGCTGCCGATAAGTTCGCTGCTGCCAATGTTCCCAAACGTGAGGGACACAGATGTCCACTGAAGGCCACACACTGAAGTTTGACTGTCAGTCCTGTGTCAGTTGCTACAGTATGATTTAGAAAAGCTTGTGCAATGAGATATTACATTTTTCTTTGTAATTTATACCTATGACCTTTCAGTCACTTGTTGCTGAACCTAACCTGAAGGTGGAATTTTCACACTATTTAAATAACCAATTGATCAATAAATCAAATACCTTGGTCGAGTTCCGAGGTGCTCATTGATGGGCTCAGGAATGACCACATGCACAGGTCTGTTGCGTAACTGACACGTTCCAAAATCTTCACCCGAATCAACTCTGACCATATACGGCAGCACTTACACAAAGCAAGTATGTTGTGAATGTATGAAAAACTGCAACACAGCAATAAGAAAGAATTTATTGTAAATGAAAATCTCTTCAAACCCTTTCTTAATAAATTCAGTGGTACTTCGAGTTACTTACGAAATGACCTCTATTTATTATTATTTCTGATATACAACAATTGTAATTCTTCTTGCACAGCGGAACTATCATTAGGAACGTGCGTATTATGCGTAACGCATTGCTGTGACCTGAAAACGTGTGATTTCACTCTGCGGCCGAAGGCAGAAGCTGTTGTATATGTAGGCGGCAGTTCCAACTACGCATTCATGTTTATCCAATCACAAATCACTTTAAATTTATGATGTCTGAAAATAATTGTTGTCACAAAAAAGAACCCCAACTCTATTTACAGAGGAAGTCAACCCAAAGTTTTTCTTTACACTACGTCTGTCATGATTCGGTTTGGGACCAACAGGTGGCACTGTAGGGCTCTCCCTGCAGCTGCACACCTGTTGGTCATTATGTAATTAGTGTTTTAAAAAGACTCCCAGCCCGAACACTCGGTGTCGGGTCATTGTTGCTTTTTGCTGCTGTCATGTTTGTTTTTCAGTCATGTTTAGGTCATGTTTTTGGTCATGTTTTTGTTATTGATAGTTTTGAGCTTCAGTCTGGTTTTTGTTTGATACTTTGGACTTTGTTTGTTTTGGATTTAGTTTTCTGTGTTTTATCAATACACTTCATCAAATACACCCTGCTCCTCCCTCTTGCCTGCTTTTTGGGTCCAACACCACCTTGCAACGTGACAGGATTCTGATAAAGATTAATTTTACAATGATTGTGACAATGATTGATGATAGATTGATTATTTTTAGTTATCATACATTTGCTTATTATTAATGTTATTATTGTTATTTTGATATTGATTGATTGATTATGCTCGCAAAGAACAAAGCTTATGCCTGCAATGATAAATTGATCATGCTTGCAAAGATGAACGCTTATGCCTGCAATCATTAATTGACTATGCCTGCAATGAAGAACGCTTATGCTTCTAATAAAAATATATTAATCATTATGTACTCACATTTATAATCCTTTGTATTATATTTATATACTCACATTTGTAATCAAGAATGCTGAGTGCACTGTGTGGAAGTTTAGGGACGCAAACACCTTTCCGAGGACGTGGTTGGGAAGAGATAAGTGTTAAAAGACTAAACAGGAGCGAGGTTGGACAGTGAATGGAGCCATCAACACCAGCTGCAACGTGATGTTTTTGTAACAATTGCACACATATACGTAATTTACACTCACATACACACACATAGTCAAACAAGTTCAGTGTGTCTTCAACAGCCCCCACCCTTTATGTTGGACACACCTATGTAGTAGATTTCCCAATAAATAAGGAGGCGAAGGGGGAGATCGGGAGGGGTGACATGCCGAGAACTGAAACCGAACGCTTCTCCTCGTTCCCTCCTGGTACCAGAAGTGAGTCTCCTGTCTCCTTGTGTTTTATTCCTGAGTGTCAAATTGGATAAACCTGACAATTATAAACAATTTTCTCTCGGTAAAAAGGGTGTGTTTATTAATGAAAGAAAAACTGTCATGATCATGTGGTAACATATTGTTACGACGATAAAAAAGTGCATTTTTTAAATATAAGTTCATAAAAAAACTCCTTAAAGATGCTTCGGTGTTTGCCCCTGCCTTACACTTATTGTGCTTTGGCTGCCCTATTGTTACGACGATAAAAA